GTGTGTGTGTGTGTGTGTGTGGTGGGGGGATGGGGCTGTACGTCCACTCTAGGTACTAAATTCAATACATGTGTGTTTATGTAGGTGCTAGACTTGAAGTAGTGTTAACTAGAGCAAGAGAATCATTAAAAAATGAATTGTTCTAAAAATGAATCATTTTTTAACTGGACCTTAAAATGAAATCTCATAACTGTAGCAAATAACTTCTTTTGGGGTTTAAAAAAATATATGAATTATATCTTTTTGGTAATTATATATTAAGTATCTTGAAGTAATAGTTCTGTTTTCTATTTTTTACATTCATTTATTCACACAAATACATTCATTTTTACAGCTTGTCCTCACGCTCAACTTGTCATTTCCAGCTTGTTTTCTCCTCTATGGTCTTCTGATCTTGTGGTCGTTCTTTTCCATACAGTGAAATTGAATGAGAAATTATATAAAAGCACCCAAAACATAGTTCAAAGGCTATATTCCAAGTCTTCTGTAGCTTTGACATGTCGTACCAGGTGTAAAATCAATGATGATACATGAAAACCAATTATGTTCAGTTTCATTGATGACAACTTTTTAAGGTGCCATATTTATTTGCAGGAGAACATAAATGAGATTTGGAGGAAGATTTTGGTGAATAAGGGCTTAAATAACTCGCATGTAGCTCTTATGTGGTTAGCTGGTGCACAAATCATGTGGTACACCTCAAATACATAGCAAATATTTATTTATCTCCAAACAAGCAGGCATTAAATGATCCACAGGGATTTCTGGAAAGCTTTTTGGAATGAAGATTCAAATGAGTAAGTGAATCAGTTCAAACAGACTGTCCATTTGAACTGATTTGTTCAAATGAATCAGATCAACTCTAAACCGAAGTCTGATGATGCAAGTTGATGAAATAGTGCATGTAAAAAGGGGGGAAAACGATAACCACAGGCGAAAGAATAAAAAGCCTGTCGACCTCTCATTGTTTTGTGGTCAGCAGGAGCTTTGTCATTCTTCTACCGCAGAGCTGAGCATGGAAAGGTCTGGAATGCCCCAAAATGTTTGGGAACGTAACGGTCTTCTTAAAAGTCTGCCAGTTAAGCTACTCCACTACTCCCCCCTGCCCCCCACACACACACACACACACTCGCCTGGTTTAACCCCGACTCCCTCCTTCCCTGAGCTAAAGTTTATTGCATTGATACCAGATTGTGAGCGGGGGGATTGGAGAGGCGGTTAAAAGCAGCATAATAAACATCTTAATGCATGTTCCAGTAGAGATTTAGCTCCACATTTTGAGCAAGCGCAGAATATACATTTCTAATGTTCCTTATCCTGATTTCATTCATTCATTCATTCATTCATTCATTCACAGTCTCCTGATCTGTCAGATATTGTTTTTAGGTGCAATAACTGAAAAATATGTCACATCACATGATATAAAACTGGAAAAGCATGCTAGATTAATGGAGAAAAAAACGGGGAAAGCAGACTGAAAATATATGTTAAAAAATAATTTGTCAAATGTAACATTATTATTTCTGTTTAATTCTAAACACTAGTTGGAAATGAAGGAATAAATTACAATTAATTTAATTTTACTTTTGTTTATATATCCAAGTATACTCTGTTACTTATATATTCCAGATAATAGGAGGTCTATGGGAAATTTGAATGGTTTAAAATATTTTTGATAATAATATGTTTACATTTAAATAATTTCATATTAAATACTAGTTAAATAAATTATGAGGCTAATTACAGTTATTTTTATTTTGATAGAGTTCTATGTTTATATATCTAACAGTGCACTACTACTTAATAGAAAAGACAGATTTTTAACATTTTGAATAATTGTTCTATAAATGTGTAAACATTATCTTGTTTTTTAAATATTTTACATATACTATTTGTAATTTTCACTTATACAATAAATATATAGTATGTAAAATAAATATTAATTCTATATACTATAATTCTATAATCTATATATTATAAATTATTTAAATAATAAATATATAGTATATAAAACGTTATACTTTATACTATAAATATATACAGTCATATTTTAGAACAAGAGGATCACTATATTATATGTATAATATTATATACTAGGCCCAGGCACAACATGCCAAATTTTCTGGGGAAATCGGTGTATTTTTGCAGAATGAATTTAAATATGGGAAAAGGTGTTTACACTCTTATTGGTAGCTGATAGCATGATCAAATTGGCTAAATTATTTAATAAACAAACGTGCAATGCACGGAGGATACAGTGTATGAAACTTTTAATGATGCTCTAATTCTTAGTTATACAGTTTCTTGAATAACCATTATGTCTACTTAGATGATAGAAAACAGTCTGTGTGTGGTGCTGAAGTAACTGACGTCACCCCTGCAGGTTTTAGTGGAGGATTTGGTTCTCAGGGAGAAACGCAGGCTGCGGTGGGCTGTTGCGGAGGTGCTGTTTAAAGCAGGCCGGCTGGTTAGCCTGCTGGGCCGCTGGAGACAGTAATGGCAGGGTAGCGAGCCAAAGAGAAGCCCTCATTCAAGCTACACTCAAAACGCTGATCTCTAATTAGCATCCTAGACCCAGTAGGGTGGTTCCTGCATGTGCGTGTGTGTGTGAAAGAGAGAAAGAGTGTGTGTTTGTGTAAATGTGTGCTGTTTTTTGTTTTTGTGACCTCCATTATCACTCTCTCTTTGTCCTCCTCAGCTCTGTTTGTCTGTGTGTCGATATGTGTGAATGTGAGTGAGCGTTTCTCTGGCTTCTTGGTCTATGGCGACTCCAGCGATCTGCAGGGTTAAAACCTGCAGAAAAAAAAGTCCCTTTCAAGGATCAGATTACCAGAGAAAAACTCAGACAGAGAGAGAGTGACAGGAGGCAGAGGTTTGAGGGAAAACATGGATTGCCGTGCAGATTCAGGAAGGAGTGAGGAATAAATACAACGAGAGAGTTTACATTTTGAGCATTTAAGATCATGAGGCATCTTTTCCCTGAAATCAATCTCATTATTTCCACCTCGGCTACTGGCATCTATGGCAGGCACGGACATCGAGTCAGGTAGAGTGAGTTATATGTGTATTATGTTTGAGATTTCTTGGAAAAATTATGTGTTAGTGGATATTAATGTGTGTTCTTTAAATTAATACCTGATTTTCAAACCCTTCTGTCTGGCTGTTAGCCAAGCAAAGTGTGTTATAGATTTGTAGTTTGATCCTTATAGGTTCATAGGAAAGTGTGTGGGCATCTTTTAAGGCTGATTTTGGTTTAATTTAAATTTTTAAAGACTCAAAGCCCATCTATATGGGATTTATGGAGAAATCAGTGCCTTGTCCTTAGACTTCACATATGTGTCTTCTAGTAGAGAAAGTTTTGATGATAAAAGCATTTATAATGAACGCTGAGGAGTCAACATGCAACAAAGAAAGAGAAAAGGAAAGCAAAGTAAAAGAAAGTGTGTTGATTCACTTTCATGCACTCTTTAACCTATATGATAGATAGATAGATAGATAGATAGATAGTATGATATATAGATAGATAGTATGATAGATAGATAGATAGATAGATAGTATGATATATAGATAGATAGATAGATAGATCTAGTCCTCTGTGACTGATAGGGGTTAAAGGTCACATGGGTCACTTGTACCGTTGTGTGGCTGGTGTGTTTGAGTTGGTGTGTGTGTTTGTTTGTGTTTTCTTTTGTTGCCATAGTACGGTCTGAATGATGGTGGCCACCCGGGAGTGAGAGGATGGTGTTAAACACAGTTATCAGTAACTCTGTTTAGCCACTATGACCCTGAACAGATTAAAAAATGTACAATAAGGCCCAATCCCAATTCTACCCCTTAGCCCTTCTCCTTTCCCCTCCGTTTCGCACGTTCACGTGAAGGGGTAGGGGTGTCTCGATTCTATTTTGATTGGAGGGGTAGGGGTAGGAGAAGGGCCAGATAGCCCTTCAAACAAAGATTTTTCAGGACCACACTTCAAACGAAGGGGTATGAATTATCTCAGGGTGAACTGGCTCCAGCGACAACATGGCTGCCCGAGCAAACAAAAAGACACATAAATGTAAGCATTTTTGGCATTAATAAAGATTTTAACGAAAAGTAATCATTTGTTTTATGTTGCATTCAATCGTGAGTTCATATTACAGTCATGTTACTCAAAGAAATGTTTGCAAAAAATTGCTAATATTTGCTAACTAACGTCATATCATTACAGACTGCACGATAGTGCCACAACTTATTTTCATGTCTGATCAGGGCGATAACCACCGTAGACATTGAGGGGGGCTAGTCCCCCCAATAATTATAAATCGTTAAACCCTTTTCTCAAATATCACCAATTCGAGAGAGAGAGATGAAAGTTGCGTGTATG